GCTTCTGGCACCCATGCGGCTCACCTTCTCTGTCCTAGGAGCTTGGGATGGCAGTGGGGGAGCTTCCTTCTGGGTGCTGGGACCGGCTGAGCTTCTCTGCCCTAGGAGCCTGGGATGGAGGCAGGGGATATTAGACTTTTTACTGTTTTGCGTTTTTTGCCTTGCTATGTAGTCCAAGATGGTCGAACTCACTGTAATCCTCCTGCCTCAGCCTCCCAAGGGCTGGGATTACAAGCATTTGCCATCATGCCTGTAAATATGTTAGATTTAGACACAGAAAATATTTTACCTGTGTGACATATTCCAATATATGCTCAACCAGACTGTACTTTGAGCTACTGTTCAAAGGCCCACCATTTACAAAAAGGCAATGGGGAACAAAGCATAAGAGAAATTAAACTAGTATATTTTATAACACTTTAAGGCCATAATATTCATTCATCAGAAATCAAAATAATAGTGCATGTTTTTCATACCTCTTCATCTTTCATATTCACATCCACACTTTTTGATTGGATGGCTTTGGTTATATGGTCAATGTTGTTTTCCCTGCAGTAATCAAATATGTCTTTGTCTTCTTCCCTAATTGAAATAAAAAAATAACTTTATCTTATTGGAAAATACACAAAAGTTACATATATTTATCACAACCTGTTTGCTGCTGACACAAACATTAATAGAATCTTGCTTTTATAAAGCACTTCCATAAAGTAATAGATTTTCAGTAGATACAATATATCCAACCTCCAAAAAGATCAAAGTTCTTAGCAAGTATAATTATAAGAAAAAAACTTCATCTCCTTTAATAAGGAGCTTCATGAATATACTAATATAACATCTTGAAATAGATTTTCTGACTGCCCTTTTTCCAGTTACTTTTATACACTCACAGATACAATTTCCTCTAACTTGGGATTTTCAATAACAGCACTGCACTAAAACGGCTGTTTTGGGTAAATCACCTACTACTGTCTACACTGAGATACCAAAGATCAGGACCCAGCTTACAATTTGCCATGTAGGATAACAGAATAAACTGATTGTTACTCACAGTCTAAAAATATGTATATAGTAATATATATGAAAAATATATAAATAAAAAATTTTCTTAAAGGAAAGATAATTAGACAAAGAGCATTATTACAAAATTTAAAATTCCTTTATGAAACAGTAGTAGAAGACTGGGGACAAAAGTTGGGAAGTATACTATGTACTCGATACTATTCTAAATACAGTACACATACTAATTCATTTAATCTTTAATCCAACAACTTCATAGGCAAGGAGAGGTTAAATGCTATCGTATTTATTAAAGATACAAAATAGAACTCAGATTAACTGATTTTGTATATAGTACATTTTTCCATTATGGCATGCTGCTTCTTGACTAGTCAGCTGCAATCTATTCCAGAATCTAAAAAAAAAGTGCTTAACCTGAGGTTAATGACCTCTCTAAAACAGTATAAAGAATCACCTTTGTAATACATGTGCATTTTCCTGAGTTTTGGGTAGGAAGGGAATAGCTTTAATCAGATTCTCAACAGGATCCGTGACTCTTAAAAGAATTACGAATTTGGACCATTACAATGAAACTAACTGACATGTGCGTTAAATTTTGTTATTTTAATTTTACTTTTTTCCGATACCGGGGATTGAACTCAGGATCTTGTGCTTGCCAGGCAGGCACGGTGCCACTGAGCTAAATCCCCAGCCCATTGTGCACTACATTTTATGGATAGGTATGAAAGAATGCATTTTGAAAACTAGTGTTATTTTATAACCAGGAAAGCCATAGCAGCCATTTATCAGAAATCAAACAACTGGCCATAGGAATTCTTATACCATAAAAGCCAATTAAAAAAATTTATGAGTAAAACTTATATATTAAAAGTAATTTCAGGGGCTGGGGATTTAGCTCAGTGGCACTGTGCCTGCTGTGCAGATGCAAGGTCCTGAGTTTGATCCCTGGTACCAAAAAAAAAAAAGTAATTTTCAGTCATAGCTAATTACCTTAAGACGTTACTTGGTATCAACCATTTAAAGCCTTCCTCAAACAACTGATATATTTTATTAAGCACCTCCTACATACAAGGCACTCTGTAAGATTCTGTCAATAACAGATATAAAGCTAAACAAGAAAGTTTGCCTTCAACATACACATAAGTATAGTTGAAATGATAAAATTAATATACTATTAACAAACATTAAGGTAGAACTTAGTCTTTAAAAAAGACTATAAGAGGGATCCCTGGTACAAAAAAGAAAGACTATAAGAGAACTTCTAGAATATATAATTGTATATTGCTTCTAAATGGAGAAAATAAGATAGGTTTTATGGAAGAACTCATGTTTAATTTTAAAATTCCTGTTTTGCATAAGTGGAAATGCATTTCCAGACCATTTACTCTTGTAAATATGGAAAACTGAGCCCAAAACCCCAGAAAGGAGAAGTCAGATTTTTAAAATTATGGCTGTTGATGACACTACTTTAATTTTACCACCAAAGACACTATTTCTATGAGAGTATATTTAGAGTTCCAACTTGGGGAACAAGGATCTATTTTCCTGCAATCTAGTAATAGAGACCCGCTAATTCAAGAGGCAACAACTTCAAATGTTATTTTAGCCATAACAAAAAATACACTACCCATCAATTGTTTTGATTTTGAAAATAAGGAGATTTGGTAGTAAGGCCCAGAAAAGAACATAGAAAGATCCAAGGGATGTAAGTTATCTATGCCCCGTAAAATGTAAACTTTATTCATAAATGAGAGGAACTTCTGAGTGGTCTTTCCTCCTTACCCCAACTTTCACATATACACATATATGTATACATTAAGCAGTAAAAGAGTAAACACATTACAAACATTTACATTTTTATCTTAATATATTTTCAATCTTTCTTAGATACACCATCTATATATACTATTTTCCTGTGGTATGTGAATGTTTTTTAGAAAGGGAGGGAGATTTGTTTACCTGTTTGTCATATGTAGTTTATTGTCATTGAAAATGTCAGGCACAGAAGTATTTATAAAATACTTCAGGGTAGGTTATACAACTTAAATATAAAAGGAGAAGCTTACTAAAATCACTACATATGTACTACAAAGTTGAGAGTCTAATATAAAAAGTAAGGGATATTCTTAGTCTTAGTTGTTAAATATATATATACATCTACTACCACATTAAATTTTGTCTGCCAGCAACCAAACTGTCTTTATACAATGCCACCACCTAGTGGCCAAAATGGAGAAATGTCTGAAATAACAGCTTTTTACATCTTTCTTGCCAACAAAATTATATATAAGATACAAATCAAACTCTTTCTCTTGCTACATTTCCAGTTCCATATAGTCTTCCAAGGCAATCTTTCTATTCCCATACTTATTTTAAATGAAATAACATGTGAAATGAATCCAAGCATTACAATATTTTAGAGCTTTAATAAATGTTTATACCCTTCTGTGTCTCTCATTATCTCCCTTTCTCTTATGATTCTCACTCAGTTATCTTTCTTCTTCTCTTGTTGACTGTGAGTCTGAAAATTATATTCATTCTCTATGGGTGAGTATGAGTTATGTCTGTGATGCTACCCTCGAGGTTGCCCCACACTCTTCTAGATAGTCTCTTTAGATTACTTTTACATTTTTTGAAATTGATTGGAAATAACACATATACTGTACCTGAAGGAAAATGCATTCACTTTCTTTGAAATTCTTTAGGAACATGAGGACACAATCTACTTTTTTTTTTTTTTTTTTGAGATAGGGTCTCCCTTTGTAGTGTAAGCCAGCCTTGAACTCCCTATATAGCCCAGGCTGGCCTTGAACTTGCAGTGATCCTCCTGCTTCAGCCTCCCAAGTGCTGGGATTACCATGCCCACAATGCCAAGCTATAAGAACACAATCGTATAGAAAAGAGGGATGGTGTTTAACTATCTTTTAATCACATGCAGACTAAACACTGCCCATTCCTAAAAATGCTATTTGTACCATTTTCTTTTATATTGGTTTCATTTCCCTATCAAAAGAATATTTCAAGTATATTTCATGGCAAGCCACATAAAATCCATTTAACTACTATTTCATCTACCTCAAAAAATTAAAAATACATTTATAGGACTAGCTCAAAAGAATTCATGCACTTCAATAGCAAGAAAACAAATAGCCTGATTTAAAAAGTGCCAAAAGGGCCAGGGATTTAGCTCAGTGGTTCCAGCGCCTGCCTCGCAAGCGCAAGGTCCTGAGTTTGATCCCCAGTCCCCAAATACATAAATAAAAATAAATAAATAAAAAGTGCCAAAAGATCTGGACATTTCTTTAAAGAAGAGATATGAATGATAAATATATACATTAAAAATGCTCAAAATCCCTAATTATCAAGAAAATCTAAATTAAAACCAGAATGAGATACCACTTCATGCCTATTAGACTAGTTATTATAATAAAGAAAAATGGTGACAAGTGTTGGCAAGCATGGGGAAAAAAGAGAACCTTTGTATTCAGTTGGCGGTTTCAAAAAAGTATGGGAATTCCTCAAAAAATTAAAATAGAATCACCATGTAACCCAGACATCTCACTTCTGAGTACATAAGGGGTGATTAAAATAAACAGTGAATGTTTAAATTTTCAAAAGGTATCACAAAAACACATTGTCATTAATCCTCCTTAAAATATTCCCCCTCTCTTCCAACACACTCATCCCATCGTTTTTTTTTTTCTTTTGGTACCAGGGATTGAACTCGGGACCTTGTACTTGAGAGGCAGGCAGCAGAACCACTGAGCTAAATCCCCGGCCTGGTCCCATCGTTTTTTTAATCACTTTCTGAAGCAGTTCTGAAAGTCTTCTTTTGTGAGTGCCTTTATGAGGCATAATCACAAATAAGGTGAATGCTGCTGCCAAGTGCCATAAGATGAAAAAGCTGGCTCTGAAAAACATTGTGGTGTGCCCTCATCCACCTTATTCATTAGACCTGGCACCGTGCAACCTCTGGCTCTCCCTCAATGTCAAAATGACCTCAAAAGGTACGTATTTTTAATCAGTTCAGGACAACAAGGCAGCTATTATAGCACAACTGAAGACATTTATGAAAAAAGACTTCTAGAACTGGTTCAGAAAGTGACAACGATGGGATAAGTGTTTGATGCAAAGGGGGATATTTTGAGGGAGATTAATGGCAGTGTCTTTTATTGGAATAAATTAAACACTATATTTTTCAATTACACCTTGTCTATCTAAAAAAAAAAACAAAAACCCTGAAGTCAGTGTGTTAAAGAGCTATCTGCACTCCCATGTTCATTTCAGCATTATTCACAATAGCAAAATAGGGAGGCAACCTGTAGCCATTAAGCAATGAATGGATAAATATGGTATATATACATTACAGAATATTCTATAGCCCTAAAACGGAAATTCTGTCATTTGGGACAACATAAATAGAATTCAAGAACATTACACTAAGAGAAGTAGCCAAGCACAGAAAGGTGAACACTGTATAATCTGCCTTATATGTGTTAAAAAACTCTCTCATATGAACAGAGTAGAAAGATGGTCACCAGAGATTAGGACAGGGGAGGGGT